TATCAGAGATAAGTGATATCATTCTGTGTTTGTCAAAGAAAGGTTCTTTTTTCTTTTTTACTGAATCACTATGAGATACACAGTTACAAAGTTGTTCATGATTGAGTTTCAGTCATACAATGTCCTAATATCCATCCCTTGACCAGTGTACATATCCCACCCTAGTTTCCCTCAGGTCACCCTCCCCATCTTTCAAATTCCAGCCCAGATCTTTGTCTCTTTCCCTCACTCTCTCTCTTTCTTCCTGGGCATTATGGTTTGCAATATAGGTACTGAGAAGTTCTCATGTATATCCCTTTACCTATCATTAAAACTAAGTTTGGTGATAGAGAAGAGACAAGTATGACAATGATAGTTGGAAATGGTCACTCTGGACAAGAACTGAGTTCTAAAAGAATTTTTAACCAGCAAGGGATCTGTGAAAAGACTTCTGAAACACAGCAGGGCAAAAAGTAATCTGGTTAGACCCTAAGGTTGAACAACTATGGCTCACAACTCTTCTTGGACACACACAAGTCCTAGTTCCTGGTCTCTACTGTCTAGATTCTTCAAAATGGTAAAAAAGGTCTCTCTGACTACCAGAAACTTACTACACAAAGTCATCCAACAGATCTGCTCTAATATGTTAGATCTGTCACACAGTAACAGTGACTGTGTTCCCCTAGTCATTGTTCAGATCTGCTTTAAACAGAGCAGAAAGGCATGCTGAGACACATACTAATTCAGTGACATCAAAGACCTGTGATGGTAAAAGACACATCACAAAAATTGCAGTCAGCTGCAAATGAAAACCCCAGATCAGTTCATTGAGTAGCCGTTACTGAATAATACACATGACTGAATTCCCCAGTAACTGCTCAGTGTGTTCCATCTTTAACAACATAGACTTTGACGGTGTATGAGGTCAATAGTATAGAGGCTGTAGGGCATTTCTGACCATAAATGCTCAGTGGCTTTCCAGGCCCACATAAGCTTAGAGCCACAGGGACTAATTTGATTGTGTGAGTGTGAGCCCCTGGTAGTCACTTGGGTCAGCCCATACTTGGATCCTCAGCCAGAGTCCTCACATAGCACATGCATTAAAAAGACAGATGGATTTACTATTATTGATGAATGGAAGCAAAAGTCAAGGAAGGTCCTCAAACAAACCAAAATGTTCTAAACTCCCTAACGAATAGCACTGCAGCACTGTCCTCCTGGTGTTCATCTATTTGCTCAAGCGGGCACCAGTAACATCTCCATTGTGAGACTTGTTGTTACTGTTTTTGTATATCGAATATGCAACAGGGAGCTTGCCAGTAGCTTGCCAGGCTCTGCCATGCATGCGGGATACTCTCGGTAGCTTGCCGGGCTCTCCGAGAGGGACGAAGGAATCAAACGCGGATCGGCCACGTGCAAGGCAAATGCCCTACCCACTGTGCTATCGCTCCAGCCCATTGATTTAGTAAAAAATAGTAATATTAATTATACCTTAGTGTTACTGTTATAATTAAATAATTTGTATTTTAAATATAATAAATTGTGACTTTAAAACCCAAGTTAAATATAATTTTTGCACACTCATATTGGTAATGCACATAAAAAGAAATTCAATATTTCTATAATATCTTTGGGCTGGAGCTATAGCACAGTGGGTAGGGCGTTCGCCTTACAAGCGGCCAACATGGCCGACCCGAGTTCGATTCCTCCACCCCTCTCGGAGAGCCCGGCAAGCTACCGAGAGTATTCGATATGCCAGACACAGTAACAACAAAGTTTCCAATGGAGACGTTACTGGGCCCACTCGAGCAAATCGACGATCAACGGGAGGGCCTTTACCTTTACCTTTATAATATCTTTGTATTTTGATTTATTTTATGTTTTCTAGGCACCACACCCAGAGGAGTAGAAAAGGAGGTCCACAAACACGATGGCCACTCAATACCTCTATTGCAAACCACAGCACCCCAAAGGAAAGAGAGAGCAAAAGGGAATGCCCTACCACAGAGGTGGGGTGGGGTGGGGGGATGGGGGGTGGGAGGGCCTCTGGGTTCATTTGTGGTGGAGAATGGGCACTGGTGGAGGGATGGGTACTCGATCATTGTGTAACTGAAACCCAAGCATGAAAGTTTGTAAGTCTACAACTGTACCCCATGGTGTCTCACTAATAAGAAAGAAAATGAAAGAAAGAAAGAAAGAAAGAAAGAAAGAAAGAAAGAAAGGAAAGAAAGAAAAGGAGGTCCAGGATCACATGCCTGAATGGCTTGGTCCAGGGACCTTATGTGGTCACCAGGGTTCATTCAGTGAAATTGGGGGAGCATGAACTATTAGGAATTTAACTTAGGACCTCACATATGTTGGACTGTGCTCACCACTTGAGTTTTCTTCATAGATAAATAACAACAACACATATATGAATTAAAAATTAATGGATGAGGGGACTGGAGAGATAGCACAGCATGCAGGGTGATTGCCTTGCACGTGGCCGACCCGGGTTCGATTCCCAACATCCCATATGGTCCCCTGAGCACCGCCAGGAGTAACTCCTGAGTGCAGAGCCAAGAGTAACCCCTGTGCATCGCCATGTCTGACCCAAAAAGCAAAAAAAAAAAAAATTAATGGATGATATAAATTTCTGATTAAAGTTTAAAATGCTATTTAATAATTATAATGTTCTTCTGAGTAGTATATCTACTTTTTGATCACTTGATCACTTGATATCCCATTACAACTCAATTTGCTTGAGCAGGCGCCAGTAATGTCTCCATGTGTCCCTGTCTCGTGTTAGTATAGCCCAGTGGTGTCTGCTCAATACAGGAAGACGAAGAGCCTCAAATCTTTTGTCTTGCTAAAGAAGTCTGACCATCTTGTAGGTGGGTGGCCACACGTTCTTTTGATGTCATGTGGAACCCAGTTGGTAACAGCTCTAGTCCAGTGGTCGTCTTCAAATTGCATTACATGTCCAGCCCATCTGATTTCCGATGCCTTGGCAAACGAGACAGCATCCCTGATTCTTGATTGTCAACAGAGGTCGAAACTCCGGATTCCTTCTCTCACTTGAGTGAAGCATGATACTCCAAGCATAGCTCTTTCAGTTCCTCTTTGGGTGACCTGAATAGCGTCCTCATCCTGTTTTCTTAGGGCCCAGGTCTCTGAGGAATATGTTAGTGCAGGGAGAACAGTGGAGTCAAAGAGATGTGCCTATCTACCCACCAAAAGTCTAAACATGAAATTAGTAGATTGAGAATAGTAATTGACCTAAAAAATAGTGGGAATTGTTGCTGAGCCAAAATGCCAAAAATTGGAAGCAGTGACCTCAAAAGCAAGATAGAGGAAATCAGAGAGAGAGAGAGAGAGAGAGAGAGAGAGAGAGAAAGAGAGAGAGAGAGAAAAGAGAGAGAGAACAAGCAAGTGACAGAGATTTTTAAGACGTGCTCAAGGTTTGCTGTGCAATTTTTGTATTTTTTTCATTGAACTTTGTGAGCACTTTATGTATTTTTGGATATCGACTGTTTATATGATATGTTGCTTGCAAATATATTCTCCCATTCAGTTATCTTGTAGTTTTAGCCTATTTCTTTTGCCACGCAGAAATTCTTTAATATGATGTAGTACTATTTCTACATTTTTGGTTTTGTTGTCGTTGCCAGTACAATCATATCATTAAAAACAACTTTTAAGTCCCAATCTTGGAATGTTATACCTCTATTTTCCTTAATTTATTTTATATATTCTGGTTTGATCTCAAGGTATTTGATCCGCTTTGAACTGACTTTTGTGAAAGGTAAGAGCTGAGGATCCAGCTTCATTTCTCTACACATAGTTATTCAGTTTTCCCAGCACCACTTGGTGAAGAAGCTATCTTTACCGCTTTCATCTCAGATGAAATGCTTTCAGTTACTCACAATTGAGGATGATTTGTTATAGATGGACTTTACTATCTCAAGGAAGGTTCCTTCTACCCTATTTTTTTGGTTGTTATTGTGAATAGATGTTGTATCTTGGCTAGAACTTTCTATGCATCAATTGATATGGTCATATGGTTTTTATCTTTCCTTTTGATGTTGTGTATAATACGTATTGATTTGGTCATATGGTTTTTATCTTTCCTTTTGATGTTGTGCATAATACTTATTGATTTGAGTATGTTGAAAAATTCTTGCATTCATAGGGTAAATCTCACTTGATTGTGGTATATGGTATTTTTATATGCTGTTGAATTTGGTTTGCTAAATTATTTTTTAGCATTTTGCATCAATTTTTATCAAGAACCTTTTATTAAAGAATATCAAACTGGGGTTGGAGTGATAGCACGGTGGGGAGGGCATTTGCCTTGCACGCAGCTGACCCGGGTTCGATTCCCAGCATCCCCATATGGTCCCCCGAGCACCGCCAGGAGTAATTCCTGAGTGAAGAGCCAGGAGTCAGCCCTGTGCATTGCTGGGTGTGACCCAAAAAGCAAAATAAATAAATAAATAAATAAAAGAGTATCAAACTTTGGGCTGGAGCAATAACACAGCAGGTAGGGCATTTGCCTTGCATGCAGTCGACCTGGGTTCGATCCCCAGCATCCTATATGGTCCCTCGAGCACAGCCAGGAGTAATTCCTGAGTACAAAGCCAAGAGTAACCCTTGTGCATCATTGGGTGTGACCCAAAAAAGCAAAATTAAATAAATAAATAAAAAGAATATCAAACTCATGAATGCTTCCATGAGGTTCCTACTGGAGTTTGTGATTTTAAGTTGGATTATCAACATTCAGCACCTGTGCCTTAGTGTATAATTTTAAAAAGTCAACTATTGTATCTTACACCAATTTGAAGTTGAGATATTACCAGTATAATGTATTAAAATTTTATTTGTATAGTGATGAGGACTAATAAAGGGCTCTCTCCTGAAGACTTTGTAATTCACTCATATTATATGTTACACTTCTCTCAAACATGATGGCTTTCAGGAAATTCTAACTTACAAGGCTAGAAATTTCAATTACATAAAAGGAAGAAAATACCAGATCTTACCATTCAAGATGATTTTCCACAAATGCAGACATGGGGCTAATCTGCACTGTATAAGTATCATTTGCAGAGTATTCAAAGAGTCCATAGTAAGGATTGAAGAGCTCTTGAGACAAAAGGAAGAAGAACTCTCGTGAAGGACCACTGTAGTCCAGGCTAAAAAGAAAAAAGAAGCCCAGGAAACTCATTATATGGGGAGATGGGAGACCTACTGTGCTCTTTTAGAGTTACACTGGGGGAAGCTGAGAGTATTATCAGTTCTTTTGGGTGAATCTCAATGGAAATATCTACCTGACATAGAAAATTATACTAAAAAATTAGTTTGGGGATTTTCTTAGATGTCCATGAATAAACTCTTATTATCAGTTAAACTTTGTTCAATCTTATAAAACCTAGGCCACAGAGATAGCTCAAAGAGCTGAGCACATGTTTTGTGCTGAAGTCCTGGGTTCAGTTCATTATTGTCCCCAAAGCACAAAGTGGGTACAACCCTGAGCACAGAGTCAGGACAATAGCCCCCAAGATCTGTCTGGTGTTCCTCCTCCCTTCCCAGATAGTAGGGCCTGATAACTCAAAGTGATAAAAATGCATATCTTGCATGTGGCAAGACCCTGGTTTTGTTTAATTCCAGACACCAATAATCCTTTACACACTGCCAGATGTAGCTCTGCTGAAGATTACTATAGCGCAAAACAACTGGGAAGGTTCCATCCCTTCCATTTACCCCCTATTAGATAAAAGGTACAGCTAGTTGATTAAAATCAAAGACTCTGTTGTGTAGGCACAGAAGAATTTCTTCTAATAGTAAAAGTGTGCCCACATGTATGCATGAATATGAATGTTAAATTTATTCATATGTCTTTTTTAGTGGAATTACCTTCCCTAGTTGAGTTGGTTTCCCCTGAAATTATATAAAATATTTTGCATGTGGCTGTAAATGTGCACTTCAGGATAATGTGTTTTTTTAGTAGTTTCTCAAAGCTGTAAAGTAAAAGTTTGATAGTTTAGGACTGTATTCTTGGTTCATACTTTGACAATATATTTAACTACTTGAATCCTAAAACCTGGCACAACTCAGAAAGACTTCCTGGGAGGACATCATCAGAATCATGTTGGGCAAAGGCTTAGATTAGACATGCTTAGACTACTCTGCTCCTTTTTTGAGAAAGATCACCCAAGATAGGGGGCAGTAAACTGTCCAAATTGAAGTGTCTGCATAAAACCACTGGTGTCTCACCCCTCCTCTCCAACAAAGGTGACATAGAGCTTGTTTCGCTGGAGTTCTTTCCGGGAATAAGCCATCACCTGATTGAAAGTTCCCTCCAACAAGTGGTCTCGACGAATGATGAGCCTGGAGAGAAGAAGCAATGAAGGCCATTAGCAATAGCTTTGAAGTGCTGATATTGGGAATCATGCTAGGTGAGATATGAGTACCCAGGCTTATGATCTTATACACCAGTCTCTCCATCAAAAGGAAAGGAAAAGGTACACATACTGTCAATGTTGTGATGAACCTAGTTTTAACACTTTTGAAATATTGAGAGTGCAAGGATTTACATTTTTATAATTAGACACCTTCAATCAAATCCAACTACTGTAAGATTCTTTTTGATCAATTAAAAAAAGATTCTCTAAAGTTGTATTCCTGAGTTTGGCCTTTGCATTACAATATGTAAATAATAAATTCAGAAGAGAAAAATAACGTTTAACTTTTGTTTTAATACAGAGAGCCCATGAATTTTACAGTTATATTTGTGCCACAAATAAGGGAAATAAAAGATTTTTAAATATTGTTCAAGATTTCTTATTTTTGAAAAGGCTTTCCATTGATTTTCTAAGTACCTTTGTCTGAAATCTATTCTTTCAATCTCCTTCATTTCTCTTCTCTTTCTCTTCAATCTCCCTTAACATTTTTGTTCTTTTAAGAAATTAAGATGACATCTTAACTTATCTTTTTCATTCCAGCTTCCCAAGTTTTTCCTTCCTCCCTTTCATGAACAGAAGTGTTCAGAGAATACTCCCATGATATTCATTCCATGGTAGTCACACCATGGTATCAATTTCAAAAAATACTACAGAGAAAGAGGGGAGAAAAGAATATGAGATCTACCATCCGAATTCTGTGCCAAACAAGGGAACACTCACTTAATTTTCCCTGGACCCTGACCAAATCCTTTGGCTTCCAGTTTTCGGTAGAAATTGCGAAGTTTAGCCTCAAAGTCTCTTCGATAGGGTGAAGGGGCTCTTGCACTGGCTCTCTGCAAACCTGCAGTGAAAAGCACATAGGCTGATGTTCATAAATTTTTAATTAAAGAGCAGAGGGTAGGTGAGGGGTAAACCGGCACATTCTTATTTTCATATTTTCCCTTATCAGGTTTTTCTTATTTTCATCATTCCCTCAGCGACCTTTATAATGAAGAAATATAATTCAAAGGAAGACAGATCTTGAGAATGATAATTATATCATTCATTCCAATTATTTCAAGTTGTATTGAAACTGATGTTACTCAAATCATAAAAGCTATGCTGGACTGAGGAAAGATATTAGAAAGGAAAGGAGAAGGGTCCGCTAAATGGGGGTTCTGGGAAGGCCAAAGGATGATACGGGGTAGAGTGATTAAATAAAGATGTTTAATGTAATAAGATCTTTAATTGATTATTTCAGAAATAGCAAAAGCAGGAAGGTGATTGCGAGAATGAGTATATTGAGGTGGCAAAGGAGAAGGTGGCAGAGTAGGAAAAGACCAGGAAATTAATGCATGTAGCTGAGGATATTGAACTTATCCAAGGATAATGCAAAGATTTAGGAAGGAGAGGGACACCACGAGATGTGCCAAAATGCTTAAGAATGAAGAGAGATAAGACAGATAACTCAAAAAGAATGGAAAACACGGCTTGCATGGCACAAGGCCTGGAATTTAATCCCCAACACCAAATGATACACCAAGTACCACTGGGGGTAGCCTAGGTGGGTCCAGAACTGCCAGATACAAACGTGGAATTGTCTACCTGACAGTTCTTTTGACTCATACCAGTGGACAAAATATATAGTGATGTACCTTATTGCGGAATAAAGCTAGAACGACAATGCTAGTTTATGATGAAAGTATAATCCTATACCTAGATATTACAACATATCTTTTATGTTTGCTAAAGCTGGTACTACCATTAATCATATTACCATTTCTATACAGTTTTTGTTATACCTCAAAAAGTACTTTTGCATAGATCTCTATATTTATTGTCTCTATAGAACCCAGGCTGATTTCATAAATATCTCAAAAAGTAGGAACTGTACAACTTTACATAAAATTTTTAGATTGTGTTGATAATTACATACGTTCAATAAAATTAGTATCAAAATGAGAAAAAAAGTTAGCACCAAGAGAGAAACAAATAGGGAGAGCCTGTGCTTTTATTCTCCTGTAATTATTTCAATTTTGTACAAAACTTGCATTTATTACAGAAATGTACCTGGAACCTGAATGAATAAGTAACAGGAGAGCTCCCAGACAAAAGAGAGGACATTTTGGCTAAAAATAAAATGGGCACTGGTGGAGGGATGGGTATTTGATCATTGTATAATTGAAACCCAAGCACAAAAATTTGTAAGTCTATAAATGTAGCTCATGGTGTCTCACTAATAAACATTAAAAAAAATTTAACGTTCCAAACACCAAAAAAAAAAAAAAAGTCCCACCAAAGACCAAAGCTGCAATTAGGAAGAAATTTCTTTTTTTCCTTTTTTATTTATTTTTATTTAATTTTCACCTTTTTTTATTAGTGGCAGTCTAATAAAAATAAAATAAATTTTTTTTTTTATAATTTTAAGTCATCTGTTCTCAGGCACTCAGGTTTTCTCCAGATTCTGGCTATTGTAAAGAGTGCTGTAATGAACTAAGCTGTGGAATTTTGCCTCAAAAGATAAGGAGAATTATAGTGAACACCTGGCACTCTTAATCTATACTTCTTTATGTACAATACTGAAAAAAATATGAGGCAAAAGCAATAGGCTATAAATAGGAGACAGTCCCCATCTTAGTGACCTAGCGTAAGCCCTTGTTAATGGAGGCCATATTATACACCAGTTCCATCATAAGAGAGTTCCCAGTGGATGTCATCTTGGGGACTTCCTCCAGCTTGGCTGGTGGAATAATACGGTTCAGAGGTGACAAACTAACAAATAAAAGTTTTAGGGAACTATTACAGAATTGACTGATAATGAGACATCTTTTCCTTGAACAGAACATATTCCTAAATTCCATTTTCTGAATTTCCCCATTGTCTTCAGGTTACAACTCTACAGGTTGTAAGATAGAAATTGCTAGATTTTTCTAATCAACTATCTTTACTTTTCAAGATATAAAATAAATTCAAATTTACCTCCAAAACATAAAAATGATAATCAAGTGAAACAAGCAGGGGAAAACTACTCCCATATTTGGATTCTACTTGGAGGAATGAATTTGACTGAAGCTCATTATCATTTTTTTTCTTTTTGGGTCACAACCGGCGATGCACAAGGGTTACTCCTTGCTTTGAACTCAGGAATTACTCCTGGCGGTGCTTGGGGGACCATATGGGATGCTGGGAATCGAACCCGGGTCAGCCGAGTACAAGGCAAATGCCCCACCCGTTGTGCTATTGCTCCAGCCTGAAGCTCATTATCTTGATAAAGCCTGAAATTAATACGTTTTTTAATTTTACTTCACTGAAAGTTCACTTGGAATGAAATACTTAAGCAGAGAAAATTTACATCATGTAAGAAAATCCTTTTGAATCCTTAAAGAAACAATAATGGTGATCACTAGTAATTAAAAGATCTACAACTTAACAAAAATGTGTCATAATTAGTGCTCATAATATAGTATTATATTATAGTATTATATAGAGAGAATATATTATATTATGGGTGGGGCGATAGCACAGTCGGTAGGGCATTTGCCTTGCATGCGGCTGACCCGAGTTCGATTCCTCCACCCCTCTCGGAAGGCCTGGCAAGTTACTGAGAGTATCTCACCCACACGGCAAAGCCTGGCAAGCTACATGTGACATATCTGATATGCCAGAAACAGTAACAACAAGTCTCACAATTTGTTGTGAGACGTTACTGGTGCCCACTCGAGCAAATTGATGAACAATAGGAGGGCAGTGCTATAGTGCTAATATATAGTATGCACTGTAGCACTGTCCTCCGTTGTTTATCAACTTGCTCAAGTGGGCACCAGTAACATCTCCATTCATCCTAGCCCTGATATTTTAACAGCCTCTCCTCTCGTCCTTCCCACCTCTGCCATATTGGAGGCTCTTTCAGGGTCAGGGGAATGAGACCAGCTATTGTTACTGTTTTTGGCATATCGAATACACCACGGGTAGCTTGCCAGGTGGCATACTCTCAGTAGCTTGCCAGGCTCTCTGAAAGGCATATACATATATTTCCCTCTATGATTTGTTGCCTATTGTCCGAGCCCCATCAAATATGGTGTGGTAATTATGGAAAATGGGTAGGGAGTGTCTTATGATGTGTCGTGTTATTACAGTATAGTTATTATAGTATATAATAATAAAATTTGTATACAATAAATTAATATCTGATTAGCCCTTACAAGTTAACAAAAACATTACCAAAATTACTCAGTCGTAAATGTAAAGAAGACAACAGATACTATGTACAAAGGTGTAGTCCAAGTTTACAGGGAATTACTGATATTTTTTGTTAAGTTCAGATAGTCTAATATTTAAGGTTTTGAGGGCCATATGATTTTTTTCATATTTAGTTGTAGTTTATTTTTAATCGTGAAAAAAAGGAACAATTTAATATACATTAACACAAGAATGGTTCAATAAATTTTGACAATTCAAAAAGCAAATAGAACAAATCCATTCAAATGGTTTTTATGTATAGGTATGTTGTGGGGAAAGTATAGAGAAATTACAGATAACTCTTTCAAAAGAGGATAATTTTTTAGAATTCTGTATCTAAAACATACTCAGTGTTGATACTGGTTTTATTATAATGGTGGAATGATGAGTGATTTAAATTTTTTTCTGTGCATCTCTTTTCTGGTTTTTACTTTAGAGAAATAATGAATCTTTATGCAATTTTAATACTAATAAGGACTCCTATGTGCTAAAATGATGGTAAAAAATATTAAAGGGGTAGACAGTAAAAAGGTAAAAGGTAAAGGCCCTCCCGTTGATCATCAATTTGCTCGAGCGGGCCCAGTAACGTCCCCATTGGAGACTTTGTTGTTACTGTGTTTGGCATATCGAATACATCACAGGTGGCTTGCCAGGCTCTGCCGTGTGGGCAAGATCCTCTTGGTAGCTTGCCGGGCTCTCCGAGAGGGGCGGAGGAATCGAACTCGGGTCGGCCATGTTGGCTGCGTGCAAGGCAAACGCCCTACCGCTGTGCTATCGCTCCAGTAAAGTCTATTAAAACAAGACAAAAGGCTAATACTTTTTAAAGAATTTATTTCATTCACTAGAAAAAACTAAAATTCCAATAAATGAACAAAACAAAAACTGAAACTGAAATTTATAGAATAGTTTCAATCACTACAAAATAAAGAGTCTATCTTTTATCAAAGTAGAAGGGGCTTTTGATATATACAGCATTAATGAAATATGAAAAATAGGCATTCACAAAGCTTATACTATTTAATCAATAATTTCTGTATTTATAAAATCCTATGGAAATAATCTTTGAGAGGAAGATACCCATTCCTATGCTCCGGATATAAGAAAACAATTGAGAATACAATATTCTTTGAGAATCTAAACACTAGGAGCATCCAAAAACTGGAATTGTTTCAAAAAGAGAATAATTTGCTAGGATGAAAAGCAGGCAGTGATGTGAATAACTGTTCATCTGGGCAGCCAAATCAGAAGAATCTCAATATGCTGGTACCAACCGTAAGGAATATGTATATTCAAAAGGACTGTGACAGGCTATTCTATGTTGAGATAGATCTTTTTTTTTTTTAAGGAATAAAGGTATTTACTAAGAAGGGATATTCCAGATATCAAAACTAGAAAGTAAAAAGACATGAAGAATTTTTTTTCTCCCCCAGAAGTACTATTTTATCATTTAGAATTTGAGTGTCCACAGTTGCTTATGATAACCTCTGGAGAGCCCAGCAAGCTAATGAGAGTATCCTGCCTATAAGGGCAGAGCCTGGCAAGCTCCCCATGGTGTATTTGATATGCCAAAACCAGCAACTATAGCAGGTCTCATTCCCCTGACCCTGAAAGAGTCTCCAATCATTGGGAAAGACGAGCAAGGAGAGGCTGCTAAAATCTCAGGGCTGGAATGAACAGAGATGTTACTTGTGCCCCCTTGAGTAAATCGACAAATAAAGGGATGACAGTGATACAGTGATACACTGATAAAATTTCATACAATTTTATGTGTACTTCAATACTGTTTTGGGAAAATTATTTCCAATCATTAAGCATGTAAAATTCACTCTTGCTTGGGAATACTATAAGACAGGCTACAATTTGTCAACAAATAGCCAATTTAGACAATGTGCTTTTGATCAGAAAATTGAGGACCAAAGACAGTATTCTTGCTTTATTTTCTTTTATCTTGTGTTAAAACAGATGGAAGATATAGTGCCAGACACTCAAATTACCTGGGGAGTTTTGAGGTGAGGCACAGGGAGAACAGCGGGGAGAAAAGCTGTACCCAGGGTGGAAGGCAGCCTGCAGGGGGACATAGGACATGATCTCTTCTTCAAAGAGACTGCAAAAAAAGAGAGAGACAGAGAAAGAGAGAGACAGAGACAGAGAGAAGAGAGGAAAGAAGGGAGAGAAGGAGGGAGGGAGGATGGAAGGAAGGCAGAAAGGCAGGAAGGCAGGAGGGAAGGAAGGAAGGAAGGAAGGAAGGAAGGAAGGAAGGAAGGAAGGAAGGAGGGAGGGAGGGAGGGAGGGAAGGAGGGAGGGAGGGAGGGAGGGAAGGAGGGAGGGAGGGAGGGAGGGAAGGAAGGAGGGAAGGAAGGAAGGAAGGGAGGGAGGAAGTTAATTCTATGTCTTTAAGTGAGTTAGTGAACTGTGCTAATATCAATTACAATCCCCCGAGCAACAAAAGCACTTAGAGTCTGCTACAGTAATAGAAAGAAAGGTTCATTTCAGCATGCAAATTCTCATTGTTATAACCTTATAACAAAGTCGTGATCAAGTATCATTCATAACTCTGGATATCTCAGTTGTAAACATAAGGTAACTGATAGCAAGTATAGGGATTGGAAACTTGTTTAGTTGCATCTATTTTAATCTTCTAAAACAAATGATATTTCTGTAATAGAGGAGGCAGCCCTCCAGATGCTTTTCCAGAACTTTTGGGCTCAGCACCTTACCTTAGCAAAATAACCAGATCTGCGTCATAAGACAACTTTTCAAGCCCATGAGTACCCTCAGTCCGAATGTAATGGATTTTCTCCCTAGAGAAAAAGGAAAAGAAAATTTTTATCATATATCAACACATGTATGAAGGAAAAAAATCCTTTTCTGAGCTCTTCTTTCTCTTCCTATACGGTCGTTCTAATATCCAATGAATTTCATGGTATTTTAACTTCGTATTGAAAACTCATGATGTTTTGTGCTCTGCAGAGGATTGTCTTTCCCCAGACTCATATAAGAACCGAAGCTTAGAACATAGTAGAGGTAGGTCCACTCAGAGCAGTGACACTTGGGAATGGATCTCAGTACAGCTGCTGAAGGCCTTCTGCATACTGGAGGTCCAGGAGGAAAAAGGGCAGTCTGTTGAGAAAGTTCAGTGCTTGATGGGAAACATAAACCATGATCCTGGGCACATGAATAAAGAATCTGGCCTCCAAATGACTTTCCAAGTCAGTATAAGAACTCTGCTAAATTCTAATTTAAAAAGCCTTTCCCCCTTCACAATATGCAATTCAAATCAGAAAAATTATTCCAAGAAAATCTGGGGATATATAGTTTATTTTCAAAAATACTTTGCAATTTGCTTCTCTGATATTAAAATATTAAACTATTACAAACAACATAGCCAGTAGTCATTCCAACATGTACACACTTCAAAGAAGTTAATCTCCTTTTGCTTGAGGAGATATAACAAAAATCTGATTCAAATGTTTATTTTGCAATGATTTCTGTTATATGAATTAAAAAATTGATGCAGAGCGCTCCATGATACTCTTATTTAGTCTCCACCAAATAATACATAAAAAGTCTATTTACAGAGACTGGAGAGATAGTATCGGGGATAATAAGCTGCTTGCTTTGCTTGCAGATGACCTTGGTTTTAGTCCTTGGCACTACATACAGTCTCCAAACACCACCAGAGATAACTCCTGAGCACAAGTCAAGAATCATCCCTGAACACTGTTGGATGTGGCCAAAAAGAAAAAAAAAAACAAATCTATTTATAAAGATAATACGGATACGACTGTTTCCTCTCTGCTTACATGAATCAAAATCTTCATCATTAACATATAAGTGCATATATATTACATATATTTAGGTCAAGAGATAATGAACTTTAATTTCTAGTGTTGAGATTAAAAAAATGGCAGGATATAGGAACTTTTTGCCACTACAAATATATACAGAATGAGACTGAATAGAGAAACGCACTAAATTCACACTACAGAGACTGGCATTTTTTAACACAATGTCTTTTTGTTTTATTTATTTATTTATTGAATCATAAAAGTGACTAAAATTTATTTATTTTTTCAATTTTTATTAGTGAAACACCATGAGGTACAATTGTAGACTTAAAAATTTTTGTGCTTGGGTTTCAATTATACAATGATCAAGTACCCACCCTTCCACCAGTGCCCATTTTCCACCACCACGGATCCCAGTATCCCTCCCACCCCCCATCCCCCCATCCCACCCTGCCTCTGTGGCAGGGCATTCCCTTTTGTTCTCTCTCTCCTTTTGGGTGTTGTGGTTTGCAAAAGAGGCATTGAATGGCAATCATGTTTGGTATATAGTCTACTTTCAGCATGCTTCTCCCATCCTGGGAGAATCCTCCCAACACCCTTTATTTGGTGCTCCCTTCTCTATCTGAGCTGCCTTTTCCCCTAGCATGTGTGGTTGGCCTCCAAGCCATGGAGTAAACCTCCTGGTGCTAATCTTAGCTATTCTTGGGTGTTAGTCTCCTATTTTGTTACTTTATGTTCCCCAGATGAATGCAATCTTTCTATGTCTATCCCTCTTTTTCTGATTCATTTTGCTTAGCATGATACTTTCCATGTAGTACCACTTGTATGTAAATTTCATGACTTCTACTATATAACAGCTACATAGTACTCCATTGTGTAGATGTACCAAAGTTTCTTTAACCAGTCATCTGTTCTCGGGTACTCAGGTTTTTTCCAGATTCTGGCTAATGTAAACAGTGCTGCAATAATAAACAAGTGCAGATTTCACTTTGACTATACTTTTTTGCCTCTCTGGGATCTATTCCCTATAGTGGTATTGCTGGGTCAAATGGGAGCTCAATTTCTAATTTTTGGAGAATTGTCCATACTGTTTTCCAAAAGGGCTGAGCCAGTCGGCATTCCCACCAGTAGGGAAGGAAGGTCCCTTTCTCGCCACATCCGCGCCAGCACTGGTTGCTTTTGTTCTTTTGGATGTGGGCCAGTCTCTGTAGTGTGAGATGATATTTCATTGTGGTTTTGATTTGCATCTCCCTGATGATTAATGATGTAGAGCATTTTCTCATGTGCCTTTTTGCCATTCGTATTTCTTCATTGAGAAAGTTTCTGTTCATTTAGTTGCCCCATTTTTTGATAGGGTTGGATGTTTTCTTCTTTTGGAGTTCAACCAGTGCTTTATATATCCTTGATATCAATCCCTTGTCGGATGTGTATTTGGCGAATATCCTTTCCCATTCTGTAGACTGTCTTTGTATTTTGGTCATTGTTTCTTTTGAGTTGCAGAAGCTTCTTAGTTTAAGATAGTCCCATTTGTCTATCTCTGTTTTCACTTGCTCAGCCAATGGCATAACATCTTTGAAGATACCATTAGCTTCAATATCATGGAGGGGTTTGTCAACTTTGTCTTCAATGTACCTTATGGATTCTAGTCTGATGTTGAGGTCTTTAATCCATTTTGATCTTACTTTTGTACATGGTGTTAGGCAGAGATCTGAGCCCATTTTTTTTGCATGTAGACTTCCATTTTTGCCAGCACAATTTGTTAAAGAGGCTTTCCTTACCCCATTTCACATTTCTTGCTCCTTTATCAAAAATTAGATGTTCATATGTTTGAGGGGAGATGTCAGTATATTCATCCCTGTTCCATTGGTCTGCAGCTCTGCCTTTGTTCTAGTACCATGCTGTTTTAATTATTACTGCTTTGTAGTAGAGTTTGAAGTTACGGAGGTTGATTCCTCCCATTTTCTTTTTCCCAAGAATTGCTTTAGCTATTCGTGGGGGCTTATTGTTCCATATGAATTTCAGGAGTGTTTTGCTCCATTTCTTTGAAGAATGTCATGGGTATCCTTATAGGGATCACATTGAATTTGTACAATGCTTTGGGAAGTATTGCCATTTTGACAATGTTAATTCTCCCAATCCATGAGCAGGGAATATCTTTCCATTTTCTTATGTCTTCTTTTATTTCCTAAAGTAGCGTTTTGTAGTTTTCTTTGTATAGGTCCTTTACTCTCTTAGTTAAGCTGATTCCTAGGTACTTGATTTTCTGGGGCACAATAGTTAAAACTATCTACGACAAGTCTACAGCAAGCATCATTCTCAATGGTGAAAAACTGAGAGCCTTCCCTCTACGATCAGGGACAAGACAAGGATGCCCATTCTCTCCACTGCTGTTCAGTATAGTACTGGAAGTACTTGCTATAGTGGTTAGGTAAGAAAAAGATATTAAGGGCATTCTGGTAGGAAAGAAAGAAATCAAGCTCTCACTATTCGCCAATGATATGATACTATACTTAGAGAACCCTATAACCTCTACCAAGAAACACCTAGAAACAACAGACTTGTATAGTAAAGTTGAAGGCTATAAAATCAATACCCAAAAGTCCATGGCTTTTCTATATGCAAACAGTGAGAGAGAAGAAAGTGGAATGAAAAAAAACACAATGTCTTTTTGACACACATCAAAAAAAATCAAGAACACCATGCCAGCATTGATGCAGGGAGAAAGGGACTCATTCACTGTTCGTGGGAATATTGCTTGGCCTGACTTTTTGGAAAACAATATAAACACTCCTTAAGAATTTAGTAATTAAGCTTAATATAACTCAACAACATCACTTCTCAGAATATAAACCAAAGGCCCAAAAACAGAAAAATGACATTTGCACCCCTATATTTCTTGCAGCATTATTCACAATAGAAAAATCTGGAAACAACCTGAGTGTCCAAGAATAAATGACTGTATAAAGAAACTATAATATATATATATATATATATATATATATACACACACACACACACATACATACAATGGAATATTCCTTGGCCATAAGAAAAGATAAAAGTTATACAGTTTGCTGCTACATGGAGGAACCTGGAAAGTATCATGCATAGTCAAGTTTGTCAGAGGGAAAGATATTGATATAGAATAATCTCTCTCATATGCGAAGTATAAGAAAACATACTGGGGAATAATGACTGCCCAAAGACAACAGGGAAAAAGAAGTTGAGAACTGGTAGTCAGTAGGAAACATGCCACCTGAGGGGCTTGGAGACAGGACAGGTCCCTGGGGTCAACGCCTACCTTCACAAATGGGAGGAGGTGGTGGTGCTGAAAGGCAGTTAAGCATTATGTACGAAAACCTATCAGCAACAATATAGTAAAAGAAAAATGAAAAGTCTCTCATAGAGATAGACTGGAGTGGCGGGGGGAGAGGCAAAGGTCAGGGGAAGGGAGAAACTGGTGGAGGGCAGTGGGTACTGGTAAAGGAATTGGTGCCCAAACAATTCATGCCTGAAACCCAATCATGAATAAAGGTAAGGTAAGGTAAAGGCCCTCCCGTTGATCATCGATTTGCTTGAGCGGGCCCAGTAACGTCTCCATTGGGGACTTTGTTGTTACTGTGTCTGGCATATCGAATACGTCACGGGGAGCTTGCCAGGCTCTGCCGTGCGGGCTGGAGCGATAGCACAGCGGTAGGGCGTTTGCCTTGCACACAGCCAACATGGCCGACCCAAGTTCGATTCCTCTGCCCCTCTCGGAGAGCCCAATCATGAATAACTTTGGGATTGTGGGTTTTATTTTATTTTTATGTAGGAGTATTGCTATTTATTCAGCCCACTGATTAGGCTGATTGAACTGGGCATGAACTCCACTTTACTTTTTTTTTCCCTTTAATATAATTTTATTTATTGAGTCCCCATAAGAGCAGTTACAAATTTTCGGGTTTAAGTCTCGGCCATACATTGAAACACCCGTCCATTCACCAGTGCCCATTTTCCATTTTCCACCACAAAAACCCCAGTATAACCCCCATTGCACACCCTCCCCCTACCTGTGGGGCAGATGATTTCCACATTACTCTCTCTCTCTACTTTGATTACATTCAATATTTTGACACCAGACCCACCATTATTATTTGGGATTTTGCACCAACACTCAGATCTTCTGAAAAGGCAACAGTAGAAAATTTGTTTTCTATTGCTGGTTATGAATGACATATGATATTGTGTGGCCGCAGTAGTGGCCACACGATTTTGGAATTCCAAATTTTAACAATTAAATCAGGAGGGATTTCTGCCAAAACCTGCTGGGTTCCAAGATTTGTTCCTGGGTCTCTGGGATCATGGCCGTTAAGCAGCTTGATCAGGAGCCAGGGAGGCTGTTCGTGGGAGGTGACTTGGGGTCTTGTTGGGGTGGGGAGGAAAGGGCCGGCTCCAACCCCATCCCATGAGGCCCCACGTGTCTCGTATCTGGAAGTCTGAAGGTGCCATCAGACTGCTGATGCACTTTCCTCACAGGTACAGAGTGACCTGCTGGTGGCACCATACCCCCAAATCATGAATAACTTTGTAACTTCACGGTGATTGATTAAAAAGAAAGAAAAAATTTTAAAAAAGAAATACAGTTAGCTTGTTGGAACTGGAAAAAAGCATGCTGAGTAAAGTAAGGTAGAAGGAATACAAACACAAGATGATCTTACTTATCTGTGGTACCCAGAAAAACTGGATGAAGAAATTTAAAGTAGTAAAGGGAGGAGGCCTAGATCAGCCTTAACCTTAAGGAGAGGAGAAGGAGAGAAAAGGAAAGAAGTCAAATGGAGGAGGAAGAAGAGAAAGGGAAGTAACGAGGGAACAGGAGTCAGGGGCCTTGGTAATATTGGTAACGTGGTAGACTGATATGCATATGTATCCAAATAACAGACCCAACAACACTGAAAAGATGAGATCTAAATTGCAACTACGTTCAAGATGGCGGGGTGGGGTGGGGGATGAAGGAAGGAGCAGGGAACACCGGTGGTGGGACTGGTATCAGAATACTGTGTGCCTAAAACCCAAGTATCAAACACTTTGTAAATCACAGTTCTTTCAATTAAAGAAAATTTTAAAATAATAAAACAGTAAATATTTCTACTTATAAAACAATAAATTTTAAAAATATAATGAACAAATAAACTATCTGCCATCTTTTATTGTGCTATTTCTATGAGCATTAAAACCCCCTGAATTTGTGACTTTGAGTACTAAAGTGATCATTCAATCGCACGGATGAATGTCATTATTACTTTCTTCTCTCTCTTCTCAGAGATATTATTTCTACTTGAGGCACCAGAATTAACAGGATGAGAGATGAGCTCCTACCTGAGTGTATGATTCCTTGCCAAGCTTGGCTGACGCTCTTGCAGCATTTCAAATATGTTTGGCTGGCGCAGAAATGCCACAATCTTGTCATTATATGCTGAAAGAAAAAAGTTCAAAACTGTTTAATCTACAGAAGAGATAATAAAGACTGGAAAATTCATCACTATACAAATGGGTGAAGAATTAGACAGTTCTTCCATAAGTGGAGTTCAATTCCCTTCCTTCTATGTTTGGTTATTTTGCCACAGTATTTTGGCAAATATTTATTTTGGGACGACACCAGGCAGTGCTCTGAGGTTATTCCTGGCTTTGTGCTCAGGGATAACTCCTGGTGGTGCTTGGGAGACCATATGGGATGCCGGGAATCAAACCCAAGCTGGACACGTACAAGGATAAAGCTATACTACCTGTTGTACTATTCCTCTGGCTCCTATAACAATTTTAAGTTTATATATATGTTTGGGAATATTTGTGTGTGTGTGTGTGTGTGCGCCCCATCCAGCACTGCTCACGAGTTACTCCTGGCTCTGACTCAAGAATTATTCCTGGTGGGTTGGGGTTTCTATATGAGATGCCAAGGATCGAATTCAGGTCAGCAGTGTACAAGACAAAAGCTCTGCCTGCCTTATCTCTCCCACCTCTGTTTGGATATATTTTTAAAGTTCTAATGTATCTTATCTAAACATCTGACCATGGAACTCTCCAAATATGTTTAGACACTATCATTTCATTTACCATGATACAAATGCCATGGAAAAGAAACTGTGCAGACTTCCACAGATATGTCTAAAATAAAAAGTGTACCTCATTAAGAGATTCATTTCCTCATTTATATGCTCCTGGAATTAGCTAACAAATCACTCAATGGAAGAAAAACTAAAAGGAATGAATCTCTAGAATAAATAGAAGGGAACTGAGAGGACAAGTAACAAAGGGGAAGGATAGGGTGGGAGTAAATGATAGGGCAGTAATGAAAAAGGAAATAAAGCACAGAATCCATGATATCCATGAAGATAAAAGCAAAGCTAAGTTGGGTACCCAGGTGTTAAAAAATACGGTACATACCCAGTGGCAACAATTCATGTTGATGCTGGCTTCGGATAGCAGCTACCAAACTGTGTCCTGGTCTAGCCAACAAAGAGGTTCCTCTGTGTCTAGAGACTTCTGAAGCCTAATTTCAAAATAAAATTATCATCACTGAAAATATCTCAACAATTTCAGATGCCCTTTCTACACTAAATTTTTAAAATACCAATTTTTTGTTAAGACAAGGCCTAAGTTAAAATCCCCTAAAAATCAATAAAGTTACATTACTCAGAGTGGTAGAAAATAAGTGATATTTTTAATAGAATGAGAAAGAAGAAAGGGTTTTTAAAAAATGATTGTGGCAAGTATCATGGATGATTAACCTACTGGATAAATTAACATACTGGATAAATTAAGAAAGGAGTCCCTTTGTAAGTTCACTAAAGAGCTGTAAGCAAACTGAAGGTAAATTGTACTAGTAGAGGGAGACTTATTACCCTCATTTCCAAAGTTAATACTGAACTTCAAAACCGAATGTCAAATAGACTTACACTTTTGTGGGATTGGGGGCATGGGCTGATACACACCCAGAAGTGCTCAGGAATTGTTATTGACTTTGTGCTCTGGAATCACTCCTGATGGTTCTCAGGGACCATATAGAGTGTTAGGGATCAAATCAGGGTTGACTGTATGCAACAAAAGCACCTTAACACCTGTACTATCTCTAAGATCCTTAACCTTGTACTTTTAAATAGTATTATACACACATGGCCATTATTTGTTGTTGTCTAATATTCCATTCTCTGTGGAATCTTTGTATACACAGCAACCAATTATCTCATAAAATTCTTTAAGACATTAACACCAGTATTAAAAAAGGGATCTGAGGTTTAGAGAAAAATATTTTTCCAACATCTAAATAAAAGAAATGGAACCAGAATTCTAGCTAATACTTGATTAAAAATTACTTGTTTTCTCTTTCTATACTGCTAACATATCTTAATATGTTCATTTTATTGGTGAAATTTGTCCACTCTTCATAAAATAAATAAATGCATTAGCTTTTTTATGAATTTTTAAGAACATTGGTGACGATACTAAAGCACTAAAAAACAAGGGAAGAAAATTGAAACCAGTACAGAACTCATTCATGCAGAACTCAGGAAAGGTGAATGTCCTGTGCTACTACCTAGAAATTTTAGGTCCAACCAACACTAGACAATTGAGGAGACTACAAGGTGGACTGCATATTTTAAGTTGCATGAGGCTTTCTATGTCTGAATAGATATAAGCTCTTCTGTACATCTAAGCTTAGATAGGGTTGGACAAAAGAGGGAGCATCTGGATTACATTTATTTAAAATGCAGTTTTCTTAGGAACTGCCAGTATGTTGTTGAAGTGTGGAGTTGTGACTCTGTGAAGAATGGACAGTCAACAGTAAGTTCTTAAAAGCTTCACTTCCCTAAAATGGGTGTATTATCCAGGTATTGCAACACTTTATTCTTTTCTATTGTTGGCCCTGTGCCAGAAGCATTTTTTAAATTGCTACTTGCTTTTAAAACTTTGTTTTAACCACTTAAAACAAATATGCTCATGGCACAATAAACCTTAAATCCCTTCCAAGTTGTATATTTTTTATTCAATTTTTTAAAAATTACAGTTACAGGAAATAAGGCCTGATAAGATCTTTATCTAAAGCCAGCACAGACCCAGACAAGGCTGAACTCCACTCCCCCAACAAAGGCCCCAGGAAAGGAATTTCAAAGAAGACCATCAACTACTCCCAACTTTACCCCTTGGCAAGCATCCTAGCAACAGACTTTTACCTAGGTAAAAAGGCCCAGGTGGGACAGCTTGGGGAAAACCCTATAAGAGTCATCTTGGACAAGGAAGCACGTGCATGTGTTGCTAGAGCCCATGTGCTGCCATGTTCATGTGCTGCCTGTGCCCATGCGTTGCTGCAAGCGCATGTGGTGCCTGAGCACGTCTGTCAATACATCTCTCCTCTTGAGATGTGAACTTTCATACTGGAAGATTTGCTGGGGACCAAATGGTACCGCAAGGGACAAAATGGTGACCCGTTGATGAGATGGAATCAAAGATCATCCTGCCCCCAGCGCAGAAGACAGGACTTATGACCTGTCTGATGACAGGAAGCCAGCACATTTCATTTCAAGGTTCCTCACATCCATCCCCTACAGATAACAGAAGGCCAGAACAAGCACACCAGTTCCACTGGACTCTGTTCCTTTCCCATACACTTGATCACTTGACTTCCCGTTACTCATTGATTTGCTCGAGTGGGTGCCAGTAACGTCTCCATTTGTCCCTGTTGCATGCTAGTTTAGCCCAATGGCGTCTATTGTTCTAGGAACACAGAGAGGCTCAAACCGATCGTTTAGGGTCTTGACAAATAAGTGTGACCATCTCGCAGGTGGGTGGCCATGCGATCTTTTGACGTCCCATGGAATCCAGTCGGTAACGGCTCTAGTCCAGTGGTCGTCTCCAAACCTTATTACATGTCCAGCCCATCTGATTTTCAACACCTTGGCAAACAAGACAGCGTCCCTGATTCTTGACCGTCGATGGAGGTCGGAACTCTGGATTCTTTCTCTCATTTGAGTGAAGCGTGATACTCCAAGCATAGCTCTTTCAATTCCTCTTTGAGAAACCCGAATAGTGTTCTCATCCTGTTTTCATAGGGTCCAGGTCTATGAGGAATATGTTAATGCAGAAAGAACAGTGAAATTGAAGAGATGTGCCCGGACCCAGAGGTTCTTCATCCTCTTAGCAATTTCTTCGACACGCTTGAAGGCGTTCCAAGCCACTCTCTTCCTCCTGCGCAAATCAGGTGCCAGGTCATTCGTCATGTTGAATTCTCGACCTATGTACACATAGCAGTTGCATTCGGAAATGTTCATTTTGTTGAGAGCGAATGGAACGTCAGGAATGAGACCATTTCTCATAAACATTGTCTTCATGAGATTCAGCTGTAGTCTGACCTTTCCACACTCATGGTCGAAGATGGCCAGCATTTGTGCCACCTGGCTAATGTTTGGTGTTATTAGAATGATGTCATCAGCAAAGCGGAGGTGGTGTAGTTGCCGACCATCTATTTTCACTCCCATTCCTTCCCATTCCAGTCATCACATGATGTTCTCGAGGGTGGAACTGAAGAGTTTCGATGAAATGGTATCGCCCTGCTGAACCCCTCTCCTGACATGGATGATCACTTCTTTGTAGAATGGTGAGATCCTGGTAGTGAATCTGTAATACAGCTCATGGAGGATCCTGATGTATTGAGTCTGAACGCCCTGTTTGGCTAGGGTTTCGATGATTGCTTCCATCTCAACAGAATCAAAGGCCTTCTTTAAATCAATGAATGTTAGACAGAGTGCCATCTTGAACTCCCGAGAAACCTCAATGAGCTTGGTTATTGTGTAGATATGGTCAATGGTGCTGAATCCTTTTTGGAACCCGGCTTGCTCACATGGTTGTACTTCATCCAGTGTTCTGCCAATCCTTTTAAGGATGACTCGAGTGAACAGCTTGTAGATGACAGACAATAGGCAGATTGGGTGATAGTTTCCAATGTCGTGGATGTCTCCCTTCTTGTACAGAAATACAGTCCTGCTGGTTTTCCATTGGGATGGATACTTGCATTCAGACAGGTAGCGTGTGAAGAGCCGAGACAGGGTATTGATGAGTACTGATGGCAGATTCTTCAGGTGTTCGGGTCTAACCTTGTCTGGCCCTGATGCTGTTCGTTTCTTTACCGACGAAATGGCGTGTTGGATTTCAGAAGGGAGAACGGGTTGGGAACGACATATCCATCCTGTGGAATTTAGTGTGTGGGCAGGTAGATGTAGCTATCGATGAGATACGAGTAGAAGTCGTGGATAATCTTCTCCATTCCCCTTCTGGAAGATGTGATAGATCCATCAAGGCATCGAAGGGCAGTCATCTTGGTCTTGTAGTTGGCAAAGGACAGGCGTGCGTTGCAAATGCTTTTCCAGGCTTCTGCAGTATCTGCCAGCACTGCTGCTCTTCCCTCTTTGAGGTCTTCCTTTATCGCTTCTCTGCACTTCTTTGTGAGTTTGGACGTTCACTTGTGGTTGCCTGAGGCTTGCGCCAAGCCACATTGGCAAATAAGCTCAAGAGCTTTTGAAGACAGGCCTTTTTTTTTTTTGTGGCTATCTCTCTCTCTTGGCGTTTCTCGCACAGTCATGGAGGTGCTGAACCAGTCAATTGTATTCCTCTTCAATGTTGTCAACAATGGCATCTTCCCATGTTGCAGCATTAGTGCCAAAGAGCTCCCAGTTTGTGGTTGTTCTGGGAGTTCTCTTCTTAAACTTTACAGCCCTTTCTCCCTGCTCCGTGAAGTAGAATTTTGCATGAATGAGATGGTGGTCCAATTCCATTTCGAATTTTGGGACAACAGCGACATCAGTCAGGCAAAACCATCAATTGAATATGAAGTGGTCAACTTCATTGTGGAACCATCCATCAGGAGACTCCCAAGTCCAACGTTTACATTCAGCCTCATGGAACTGTGAGTTACCATGGATGGTCTTGGTCGACATGATGAACTCAGACAGTCTCTCACCCTGTTCGTTCCATTATAGGCCATGGGTCCCGATGTGGAGTTCTTCGGCTGATCTTCTCGGTCCTATCTTGGCATTAAAATCACCGACAATGATCTTGTAGAAGGTGTGGTCTTCTTTATAGAACTCCAGATCCATGTAGAACTTCTCAATTTCTCCTTCATCATAATTGGATCTTGGTGCATAGACAATGAACATAGGAACTGCTGGCAGTGAGCCACATCTATTCTAGTGTAATCATCCGATTCGGATTGTTAGGTATTCGAATGAATCAATGCTTATAGCCAACTTCATGTTGACAAGGACACCGACACCACCGATGCCTCTTTTGTCGCATGTTCTGAGGAACAGTTCTTTTCCAGTATCGAAAACAGCATGATGTGATTGATGCCTTCTTGTCTCGGTCAGACCAATGATGTTGTACTTGATCTTTTGCGCTTGTACCATCAGGTCCTCTATGGATGCATCTGATGCTAGCGTATGTGCATTGAAATTACAGACAGTCATTTTTGTCTTTCTTCGTTTTGGCAGCCTAGTTCAG